TCCTGGAAACCTCTGGTTAAAGCCAGTCTATCGGGACCACATCCAGGACTCCTGGATGAGCTCTGGGCATCTGAAGTGGAGACAGTCTTCTAGGATGGAACCCCGAATCTGTGGGATCTGACCCAGGTAGGTGGTGTCAGGATTAAGTGGCATCGTAGGACACCCATTGTTGGAGAATTGTTGGCGTGCGGAACCCTACCCCTCGCCCCACCACATTGGAAACTGCAGCACACTTAATATGAAATGTCCAGACCGGAAAGATCCAGAGAGACAGAAAGCTGATTGGTGTTTGCCAGGGGCTGGGGACGGTGGAGGGAAAGTGGCTGCTCAGAGGGATGAGGTCTCCTTGAGAGAGCGGTGGTCAGAATGTTCTTGAAAAAACAGAGGTGACAGCAGCACAACTGCCACGTGTCACTCCACCATTCACTTGAAAATGTTGAGCCATCTGTTACTTTTCCACAGAGCCTCACACCTGACAGCCTCCCAAGAGAGCTAGGGGGCGAGTAGAGATGTCTTCTGAGAAACCCTTCCAGGCCTCCAACCTCTGTGTCCCTGGGGACCTAGGCCTTCCGACAAGATGCAGAGAAGGGTGTTCATGGCCAGAGGGGACCTGGTGGGATCGCCCCCTACAATTCTTGCTACCACACTTGCCCCGCCTTTCTTAGCTCTAGAAAGCCACTGGGTCTGAATGCAAAGAGGCTAGGTCTGACCTCCCAACCAGCTGCGATCAGGCTGGAAGAGGCTGTGGCAGGAGCCGGTTTAAGCACTTTCTGCTTGCTGGGGTACCCCTCAGGACACTGTGGGACCCTTCTGAAGCTGGGTGATAATCTCACTATACAGAAGCTGAGACTGAGACTCGGGGGGCCTGAGTCTCCCCAGTGGGTGCATTCTGGGGTTGGGGGAGGCCAGACCCTCTTTGTGCAGGGGGGACTTGCTGTGTGCCCCACCCCACACACGCCCTTGTGCCTCTCACCTGCACACACTCCATCACACTTCACACACCCCCTCCATCTGTCTCACGCAGCTTTCCGTCTTCTCTCTGGCCAGGAAGCCAGATACAGGCACACGGGGTGGGGCCAGGGGGGCCAGAACCTTGGAGAAGGCTCTGAGGGGAAGACCTGGGTCTTTCCGGGACACCTCTTGGCCGTCCACCATCTGGGGTCTGGATCTGACACACCAGCCCTCCCTGACCTAAACCCCAGCACACCCTGCCAGCTCTGCTCTGGGTCCAGAGCCAAGAGACTGGGTCCCAGAGTAGCTTCAGCTCTGGCTAAGGGCCTCCCTCCAGTCTGGGGCAGACAGAGCCAAGCACAGACATGCCCAGGGCTATGAGGTCAAGGCTGGCCTGGGGGAAAGGATAGGGGTTGGGAGCACCCAGCTGAGCCTGGGAAGGTAGTGTCAGAGAAGGGGTTTTTTGAGTAGGGTTTTGAGGAGCAAGTAGGATTTCCCCTAAGTTAAGTTCTAACTTAACTTAGCTGGAGTTCCAGCTAAGGATGAGTGACTGCAAACACACCCAGTTATCTACATACCTCCTATGTACCTGACCCTGTCCCTTCTCCCTCGTTTGAACTTCTCTGAGGTGAAAGTCTCAGTTCTCATTTCCAGATGAAGAAACGGAGACAGGATGGAAAGGACTGACTTGGCTAAGGTTGTATTTTCTAGCTCTTCCTGTCCCTTTCTCCTCTGCTTCCTTAGTTTTTCAACATCTCCAGGCTTTGCTCTTAACCAGGAAAGGAAGAGAGAGCAAGGATCCCATGAGGGAGAAGGCCAGCTCTTAAGCTCCTGCCATGGAACTTAGCACACAGTTAGTGACATTGTACTATACTAAGTCTTCTTTGACAAAAGCATTCTTTTCCACCAGTCCACCAGGCTGAGACGATGTTCTCATGTTATGGAGGAGGATACTAAGGCTCCAAGTGGTTCCCCAGCTTCACGGGAACACACCCTTGGAACCAGGCACCGCTGTGACCTCTTGACTAAGTTTAGTCTGTACGCAGGGGCAGGCAGGAGATGCTGGGTGGGCTGGGATGGGTAAGTTCAGACTATGAAGTTTGGTCCTACAGTGTCAGTCCCAGCTCAGAGAGCAAGGAGCACAGCCATGCCTGGGCAGGAACCAACACCATCCCGTTGATCCCCGATGTTGCCAATGCCCGGGGGGCTACCACGGGAGTCATGCCCTATCCATGGCCCAGGAGCACCTCCCAACCTTCCCAGGACCCTCCGAGATGCGATCCAAGCTGGATGTCCCCAGATTCCAGAAGCCGAAACACTTCCAGGACACCCCAACCATGCTGCTGTTGACCAAGAACTTGAAAGACTCACTCCCAGACTTTGGGAGGTGGCTGTGGCTCCCCACTGCTTGGGCTGGAGTCACCCAAGTGTCTGAGGGGTGGGGTCCGGAGCAAATGGCTTTCGTGGCCCACATAGTTTGTCTTGAGGAAATCCCTGGGAAAGCTGGTTTGGAATTGGACTCTTTGCTCTCAAGGCAGGTGGTATCCCTGGGTATTATAGGAGATTTTGGGGAACAGAGTTGGCTTTTGGCCTGCCCTGGAGGTACCTGGTGTGTTTCTGGGGCTCCCTTAACATCTCGGGTTTCTAGCTGCTCCTAAATCTCTCTTTTAGAGAAAACTTTCCTGCTGCAGGTGACTGCATCTTCTGTCCCCAAGGGAGGGCTTGGCCCCTGGCCCCTCTGGTTGCCTTCTCCCTGATGCCCAGAGTTCCTGTGAGTGCCTTGTCTGAAACCCCCATGACTGGGACCCCAAGGTCCAGTGGACATTGTCCAAATGACACCCCAGAAAGCAAATAAGACAGCTGAAATATGTGATTTCTTATGTGTCTTTGTGAGAGGTTAGTGTCCACCAAGGGGCATCTGCCTAGAGGGGGGGTGTCTGCCTAGGGGGAGTGGCAGCGGACAGAGGGGGCCCAGAAACCCTGGGATTCCTGTCCTTGGTATGTGACCTGGTGCCCAGTCTGTGGTGGCTCTTATGAGTGCACTGAGTTAAGAATGGTAATAGTCCTGTACTGAACACTCTCCTTCCTCACAACACACAGCCTTTGTTCTGATGCACAGAGAGTTTGAGTAATTTGCCTATGGTCACACAGCAAAGTGGGTGGCACTGGGATCTGAATCACAATCAGGGTGACACACAGCTTGTACAGACACTCTCACTCCCTGTGTGTTCTCCCTCCAACCCTGACACAGAGTGCCGTTACCACGTTTTACAGACGGGGAAACTGAGGTTCTGCCAGTTGATGCCCCTTGTCCCACGTGTCACGGCCAGGGAGAAGTGGGCCATAACATCAACCCAGGCCAGCTTCTTTGGAGCTGACAAATGTCCAATCTGTTGGGACCTGATCAGGGAAAACTCTTCACAAGGCTTTGAAATTTGGGGGGGGAAATAGACGGAGGGAACTTCAGAATCCTATCCCAGGCTTAGAAACGCCGGGGAAACAGATGACCAGCCAGGAGCTGGATATATATGAGGTCTCCAGCATTGACTCGCCCCTACGACCTTACGCACGTCCTTGCCTCCCCTTGGTTTGGTTCCCTTATTCAGTAATGGAAAAGTGTGTTAACAGTGTCTGAGGGCAGAGGCTAGAGAAAGTTGACGTCTCACCGCCATTGATCTTGCAAGGATGCCTATTAGGACAGCACCCCCTTTGGCCCACCTAACCCCCAGGTTAGGTCAGGTCTAGCCACTGATGCCCCTTGCTGACCTGTCCCTACCAGTTCAGATTACTCAGCACTCTGGCTCGCCTTCAGGGCCTGGCCTCTGCAGAGGGCATGGCAGTGTGGCTGTGAAGTGGCCCCGGGCCTTGTCTGGTCGGTCCAACCCCCGTTACTAAGCACTCACTGTGTGTGCCAAGCTGGTGAGGCAAGAGGCTGTCCTTCCCAACAGCCCCTGTCATGATCGAAGTGACAGGGGTGGGAACCAGTGTGTTTACAACGTACCTAAAGGCCCGGAGCATCACGGAGCCAGGAGTGGGGGGACATTGGAATCCATAGCTGGGTGATGATGCCACTTCACAGAGGCTGAGACTGAGACTCAGGGGGACTGAGTCTCCCCAGTGGGTGCATTCTGGGGTTGGGGGAGGCATGGCCCTCTTCATCCAGGGGGGACTTGCTGTGTGGCCCCCCAGCACATCCTAGTGCCTCTCGCCCACACATATTCCATCACACTTCACACACCCCCTCCATCTGTCTCACACAGCTTTCCGTCTTCTCTCTGGCCAGGAAGCTAGATGCAGGCACAGGGGGGTGGGGCCAGGGGGCTTGAACCTTGGAGAAGGCTCTGAGGGGAAGACCTGGGTCTTTCTGGGGCACCCCTTGGCCGTCCACCATCTGGGGTCTGGATCTGACACACCAGCCCTCCCTGACCTAAACCCCAGCACTCCCAATTCCCCGCCAACTTGCTCTGGGCCCAGAGCCAAGAGACTGGGTCCCAGAGTAGCTTCAGCTCTGGCTAAGGGCCTCCCTCCAGTCTGGGGCAGACAGAGCCAAGCACAGACATGCCCAGGGCTGTGAGGTCAAGGCTGGGCTGGGGGGGAAGGACAGGGGTTGGGAGCACCCAGCTGAGCCTGGGAAGGTAGTGTCAGAGAAGGGGTTTTTTGAGTAGGGTTTTGAGGAGCAAATAGGAGTTCCCCGACAGCTAAGGATGAGTGATTGCAAACACACCCAGTTAACTACATACCTCCTATGTACCTGACCCTGTCCCTTCTATCTCATTTGAACTTAAAAGTCTCAGTTCTCATTTCCAGATGAAGAAACGGAGACAGGATGGAGAGGACTGACTTGACTTAGGTTGTATTTTCTGGCTCTTCCTGTCCCTTTCTCCTCTGCTTCCTTTGTTTTTCAGCATCTTCAGCCTTTGGTCCTAACCAAGAAGGGAGAACAAGAATCCCGTGAGGGAGAAGGCCACCACTTAGGGTGCTGCTGTGGAATTTAGCACATAGTTGGTAGCTAATAAGTCTTTTTTTTTTTTTTTGACAAAAGCATTCTTTCCACCAGCCCACCAAGCTGGAAGTCCCTATCTCATAGAAGAGGATACTGAGGTTCAGAGAAGCTTCTAGGGGGAGGGTACCCCTGCTTCTCCAGGAGAAACCCTCCCAGAAGGGCCTCCCCCTGAAAAGCAGCCCAAGACTCAGCCAACTATGGTCCCCGGAGTGTTTACTCTGCACCCAGGGCGGAAGGGACCAGGCAGGCGGGGGCGGACAAAGTCCGGGGGTTATAAAGGCCAGTCCAGCAGCGTCCGGTGTCTCGGTTCAGAGCTCAGCTAGCTCGGCACGGCTGGACAAGGGCACCACACTCCTCACCCATGCTGTCAGTGCTGCTGATGTTCTCGTGGCTGCCTTCGGGAGGTGCCCTGTCTCTGGCCCAGGAGCGCCTCCCAGCCTTTCCGGGACCCTCAGATGCTCACTCCAGCACGGACATCTCTAGAGCCCAGGAGTTTCGGAAACACTACGAACACCTGCAGACCAGGCTGCGCTTGAACCAAAGCTGGGGTGATTCAAACTCTGACCTCGTCCTTGCAGCTCCAGTCTGGATACTCACTCCAAAGCGTGAGTGAAATCTAAGAGACCTCTGTCCCCTAGGCAGCTACCATCATCTAACCAGTGGTTCTGAGTCATAGGGGCCCAGGCCTGCCACCGAGCCTCAGTTTCCCCATCTGTGACACGGACAAGAACAGCTCTCGTTGGGGCTGACGGGATGCTGGTGGCCTGGTTTATGCCAAGAGGGGTGAGGCTTGGCCAAAGTGAGATGTTACAGATTGCAGATGGGGAAACTGAGGCTCAGAGAAGCCAGGGATGCTTCTGAAATCTCACAGAGCCTGGAATGCCCTGAGACAAAGTCCGGCGGCAGGGTGTGTGTGTGTGTTGGGGGGGTACTTATCCTTGGATGTGAGGGTTGGGGGAGGGCGCACAATCCAGAAGAGAGGGTGCAGGGGAGCCAGCAGAGTGGACAAGAGGGGTGGGGGGAGCAGAGGAGAGCAGCGCAGCACAGCGGTAGGTGGAATGTTCCAGATCTGACGCAATCCCTTGACACGGCACCGCTAAAGTCGCACGTGGCATGTGCCTTAGGGAGGGAGGAGATAGTCTCTCACCATCCACAGAGGATCTAGGGGGAAGAGAGGGCAGAAGGAGATCTGGGTTATGCTAGAAAGTGGGAGGGGTTGGGGAGGAGTGTTAGGGAGCGTTACTATCGTGCCCTAATCCTACGAGAGCTATGAGACTCTGGGTAATCTTCTTGTCCTTTTTGAGCCTAGTGAGTCCAGGGCCCTCAAACCCTAGTCCCCGCAGTATCTCCAACACCTGCACCAGCCTAGGGCCCTGAGAATCCTGGGGATCCAGAGATCCTTCATTTTCAGATATGGAAACCAAGACGCACAGCGTTGAAAACAAAGTAGCTAGCCCCAGCACTTAGTAGGCCTTCAGTGAAATGTTTTTGACTGCCACAAGAGGCAAAACCAGTGTTTGGATTTTAGTCCCTCTAAATATCATGTAGACATTAATCCTGCAAGTTTTTTTTTTTAAGTTTTATTTATTTGAGAGAGAGAGAGAGAGAGCACAAGCAGGGGTAGGGAGGGGCAGAGCACAAGCAGGGGTAGGGAGGGGCAGAGGGAGATGGAGAAGCAGTCTCCCAGCTGAGCAGGGAGCCCGACATGGGGCTCCATCCGAGGACCCTGGGATCACGATGAGAGCTGAAGGCAGAGGCTTAGCCGACTGAGCCACCTAGGTGCCCTAATTTCATCAAGTATTTACTAAATACCTACTGTATGCCAGACATGATGGTGACCAGGCAAACAGAAATCCCTGAGGGGATTCAGGAGGGGAGATGAAATGATACACAATGAAATAAAAGAAAATAAGGCAGTGCCTATTTTAGGCAGGCTGGAGGGATATGTAGCCTGCCATGCTGAGTCAGGGGAATAGTGTGCTTGGAAGAGGAAGCAGCTTGTGCAAACGCCCTGAGGTGGGATGCAGGCTGGCGCGTGGGAGGAAATGGGCACTCCGCGCCTGGCGCACAGTAGGCCCGTGGTTAACTGGCTTTCCTCTCTTCCTCAGTGCGACTGGGGCCGGGCGGCCACCTGCACCTGCGCATCGCCCGGGCCGACCTGACTGAGGGGCTCCCCGCAGCCTCCCGCCTGCATCGGGCGCTGCTCAGGCTGTCCCCGACGGAGCCCAGCTCGTGGGACGTGACTCGGCCGCTGCAACGTCAGCTCAGCCTTGGAGGTTCCCGGGCCTCGGCACTACGCCTGCGACTGCTGCCTCGGTTGGACAAGGACGGGTTGAGAGCAACGTTACCTTCCGCACGTCCCCAGCTTGAGCTGCATTGGCGGCCAAGCGCGGCCAGGGGGCGCCGCGACGCGCATGCGCACGCCGGGGACGGTTGCCCCCTCGGGGAGGGACGCTGTTGCCGCCTGCAAAGCCTACGTGCGTCGCTCGAGGACTTGGGTTGGGCCAGCTGGGTGGTGGCGCCTCGCGAGCTAGACGTGCGCATGTGTATTGGCGCGTGCCCAAGCCAGTTCCGGTCGGCTAACACGCACGCGCAGATGCAGGCGCGCCTGCACGGCCTGAATCCCGACGCCGCGCCTGCGCCATGCTGCGTGCCCGCCAGCTATGAGCTGGTGGTGCTCATGCACCAAGACAGCGACGGTCGCGTGTCGCTTACGCCCTTCGACGATCTCGTAGCCAAGGACTGCCACTGCGTATGAGCGGTGCTGGTCTTTCACTTACGGCTCGTGAGCAGTGGAAGCAACCTCAGAGATCCTTGCCTGTCGAATGGACTTGTGGGACCTGAGATACCCGATTTCCCACCTCTGCTTTCTATCCCCCCTTCCCACACCTCTGTATTTATGTTTGTATTTATTATTAATTTATTGGGATGCTCTCCGTGGGGACTGGAGGGCTGGGGAGGGCTAGTCTGACGGTGTGCACTTATTTAAAACTGTGGTAATAAAAGTGAAGGTGTTTAACCTGAGCTCCGTGGTGTCCAGGATGGAGCTGGTGACCTTGGGAAGAATCTTCCCCTCCCTGGCCTCGGTTCTTTTTTTTTTTTTTTTTTTTTTTTTAGATTTTATTTATTTGACAGAGAGAGAGCACAAGTAGACAGGCGGGGGGAAGCAGGCTCCCTGCTGAGCGGAGCGCCCTATTGGGGGCTCGATCCCAGAACCCTGAGACTATGACCCAAGCTGAAGGCAGAGCTTAATCCACTGAGCCACCTAGGGGCTCTTCCTTGGCCTCAGTTCTTACAGGGCACCTGGTCTCGGGGTGAGTGGAACCATTCAGGAATGCATGGCCAGAGCATTCTGGGATGTCAGTTACATGGTGCTCATGACACAGATGCTCATCTCAAGGATACCCGTCTCTTGGTCTCTGCTTCTCTGTCTCCTTGTTCCTCTGTTCCTGTTTCTGAGGCCCTTCTGGGTGTCAGTCTCCCTCCATGTCTCATCTCAGTATTCCGGCTTCTGTAGTTATATGGCCCTGTCTCTCACTGTCCTTCTGTCTCTGTCTGCATTGGAGTCACCTTTCCAAACACAGGCAACCCAGAGTCATGTCCATCTGCAGCCAAGTGTATCATGTGTGATGTTGCCTCCAACCCAGAAGAGTCCCATCACTTCTATTTGGGGCACCTCCCTCCATGTTAATGGTACCTCTATTCTTTCATTTAAAAAGAGCAAGGGTGGTGTGGGGGGCACCACCTGTGCAGCTAGGACAGCTGGGAGTTATGGGGCTCTGCCTGTGCTTGGTTTGCACCAGTCCACAAGCGACAGCATGGCAGCCATCCCCTCTAGCTGCTCGCTGGTCACCACCCATGGCCATTACCAGGGCTATCTGTGATCCATTTTCAGCAACAGCTCACGCGGAAGTGCGGAGTACCCTGGGGAAGCCATCCCTCAGCACCCTGGTCTCCCCAGAGTTGACCCGGGTCACTGGTGGGTGAGCTTCTTTTTCAGGAAGTCCACTCTCCCATACATGGCTTCAGTGTTAGAGTCCCAAGAGCCCTCAGGATCTCTCCAGGCCTCCAGAAACAGAATCACCTATGACTTGGTTCTGGAAGCCATGAGGAAGCAGCTCCGTGGCCAGCCTGGCAAAGCCAACTCCCCACCCCAGTCCTGTGGCCACCCCGAGCCACCATGCCTCAGGAGGCGCTGGGCTCATCAGAGCCCTTCCCCTTTCCTCACCTCCCCTCCCCCTAGACAAGGCTGGCTGCAGCAAGCAGAAGCAGTTGGGTGTTTTCTTTTGTTTTTTTTTTAATAACAGCAAAATACCAAAAAGGAAGTTGAGAGAACCCCACTCTTCACTATCCAAGCCACATGCATGCTCTCCTGACACCTCATAATTGGGTGCCCTGCACCAAGTGGAAAAGAAACTCCAAGCAGTCAGTTAAAAAAGGAAAAAGAAAAAAAAAAAAGGAGGAAATAGATACGTTGTGAAGAACATTTTCATGCACATGGCATCTCCCATTTTATCTAGTCTTCCTACTTAGGATCTTGGAATCCCCGAGATGTGCCAGGTCCGCCCCCTCCCCACACCCACCTGCCTGTCCACCCTGAGAATCTCCGAAGGGAAAGGTTATGGGGCTTGCTGGCAGCCATGAGAGGTGTGTAGCCTGTGAATGCTGCCACCCAGAGGCAGACCTGAATGATTGTAAGTACCCCTGAATGTATTCAGCAAATGACAGCTTTGTGCCAGAACTTGACTGGGCACTCAGGACACAGGAGGAACAAGACAGGCAAAAGCATTCTATCTGAGCCAGTCGAGTGAGGAAGACAAGTGAGTACAAAGAGAAATACTAAGAAGGTGGTGGATTGCGGTAGGAATTGTGCTGAGGAGTCAACCCAGGGAATGCATTAATGAGTGGAGAAGAGGTAATGTAGATGGGGGGGGTGACATCTGAACTGAGACCTGGAGGAAGAATAGGATTCGGGGGACAGGTGGGGAATGGGCATTTGTGGAAGTCAGAACAGCAGGTGCAAAGGCCCTGGGGTGAAAATGAGCTCAGTGTTCAGAGGCAAAACTGTTGAAGATGGGGCCAGTGGGGTGGGTGGGGGCCAGAATCCACCAGTGGTGGTGAGGGGTGTGGGTGTGTTTGAAGAGCCAAGGGTAGATGTGAAGGGTTGGGAGCTGGGGAGGGCTGGGATCTGATTTACCCTGGAGGTGAAGAAGGCAAATGATCAGGGACAGTAGTGGGCATTAGAACAGTGTCTAGGGTAGGGATGCAGGGGTTCAAGGAAGCTAAAGACCCTTGCAGGTTCCCTCTCCCACCTCAGATCATTCCCAAGTGCTGGGGAACCCAAGAAAGCTTCAAAATTAAGCTCAAACCCAGGGTCTCCCAAAGCTAACAGAGGCCCTGTAAGCATCTCCCCAAATATCGGCTGTTGCCTTTGCTGAACATTGTTATACCCATGTGCCTTTTTGTATCTCTAGTTGCAACTTACCCAGCTGGTCCCCCTGCCCAGTATTCGTGTCCTCTCCACTTCTCAAACACACATCCTTCAAATCCACTCCATGTTTCCTTCTTATGCACAGCCTTTTCCAAACTCTTTCGTTTGTCTCCCTCTGGAGCCCTTGGCCCCATCCCTCCCTCCAGCCCAGGTTTAACCTTTCAGGACCAAGGGTGTCTGTGTCCAGCTGTCTCGCCTAGACTGGAGGATTGTCAGGAGCCAGGCTGGGAGCCCCTGACAGGAAACCCAGCTGAGGCACGAGTTTGGAAAAAAGTCTTGAAATACACAGAGCTTTGGGAGTGATTAACTCTGCCTGAGGAGGAACTGAGAAAGGCCTCAGGAGAGTGGCATTGAACCTGGACTTGAAGGATGAGTTAAGACATCTCAGCTTATTAAGCTAAAACAGCTACAGCGACTAATTCCTTGTTGTACAGATGGGGAAACTAAGGGCCTGTTAATGGCAGAGTCCAGACTTGGATGGACCCATGCCTCCTGACACTCAGACCAGGGTTCTGCTTCTGTATTAAGATGTTTAACAGGGGCGCCTGGGTGGCTCAGTGGGTTAAAGCCTCTGCCTTCGGCTCAGGTCATGATCCCAGGGTCCTGGGATTGAGCCCCACATCGGGCTCTCTGCTCAGCAGGGAGCCTGCTTCCCTTCCTCTCTCTCTCTGCCTGCCTCTCTGCCTACTTGTGATCTCTATCAAATAAATTTTTTTTTTAAATCTTTAAAAAAAAAGATGTTTAACAGTGAGAAAAAATGGAAGGGGATGGCGTTCCGGGCAAAAGGAATGGCATGGGCAAATGGAAATTTCAGAAGTGAGGTGGGCTGGGTGTTGAGGAGGCCTAGACCAGAAGGACAGAAGGACGGAAGAGGGTAGTGATAGTGAGGTGAGTAGGGCAGAATTACGCAGGCCTCAACCACCAGGCTGAAGTCCTGGGGGGTAACGGGGAGCCACGGAGGGTGTGTGAGCAGGAAAGGGGCACAGTCCCATTCATAAGTTATAATGATCCCTTGGGACTGGTGTGGGCTGCCCTGGGAGCTGAGCCGGGGTACCAAGTGGCTGGGAACAGGGCCTGAAAGGGACAGAGGGGACTGACCAAGAGTGGGGAACAATTCGGGAATCTCTCAGAGAATCTGGTTTGGGGAGCTTAGGGAATCCCCACCTCAAAGAACCCACTTGCCCTGAGCCAGCAGCTTTGTGAGCCCTACAGCATTTATTAAACTTGGTCTGCACACCAAGGGTGATGACAGAGTTCATGAACTGACCCTCCTGTCGCCATACCGGAGCCTCTCCTCTTCCCCTTCCAGCAGCTTAGGGAGCTGAGAAGCAGAGCAGGGGCTAGAGAGGGAGCTGAAGAACCTCCCTGGGGCCTCAGCGATGGTCCTTCCCTGTCCCCATTCCTCAGGTGGGAAGACTGAGGCCAGGGAAGAGTCAGAATGCCTGAAGTCACAGAGAAGGCAGCAGCCTGGAGTTCAGGGCATCAGAGGCTCAGCGCCCAGGGATCACATACTCCTCCTCATCCAGCGGGGTCTTGCGCAATGACTGAAGGTTGCAGTAGACAGGCTGGGAGGCATGGTCGGGGCCCTCGTAGTTCATGTAGAAGTCGCTGTCCTCTGATGGGTGAGCCCTGGGGAGACGGATAGACAGGAGGAGAGGGGGCTCTCAGGGGGTAGGCACGTCAGCTTTGAGAGGCAAAGAAAGCTCTGGGCACCTGAGTCCCCTCCTAGTATTTACACAGGAGGAAACTGAGGCACACGGCAGTATTCTCCCGGCCTCCCAACTTTGTCTGAGGAAAAGAGGTGGGGGCCAGGGATTCAGGGAAGATTCCATGGATTTAGCATTGTAATGCTCTGGTCCAAGGACCTCAGGCCCATGGTCGAATTGTTTCCTTCCTTAAAGTTGAGATAGTTGCTCACTTTTTACATTAAAGTCTAGATTTTTTTTTTTTAATCTTAACTCTAATTTTTCAGTTTCCTTTTCAAAAATCAGAAGCTCTGGTCACACCAGACACATGGACACAGTGGCTAGGGCCAAACCAGTGCCCTTTCAGCTGGGAGTTTAGATTCTCTAAAACAAGAGACTTTGTGACCTCAATACAAACATAACTTGGAGGGTGCCTGGGTGGCTCAGTGGGTTAAGCCGCTGCCTTTGGCTCAGGTCATAATCTCAGGGTCCTGGATTCAAGTCCCGAATCGGGCTCTCTGCTCAGCAGGGAGCCTGGCTTCTCTCTCTGCCTACTCGTGATCTCTCTCTGTCAAATAAATAAATAAAATCTTTAAAAAAAGAAAATTGGAGTCTTAGTTTCTGAATCCATACAATTGGTCTAGGAGGAGATAGCTCCTTAGTGATGTCTCACTGTGCATGGTAGAGAAGAAATCCTCTTAACTCCTCCCCCCCCAAAAAAATCTCCTGCTTCTAGAACATTCTAACTCGGGTATCCCTCAGCTACTCATGTTTTAAGAAAAAAAAAAAAAAAACAGCTCAAACACATAAAACATTGTTTGCAGATAAGACAAGAGTAGAAATCAGACTCACACTTGCTTCCCATT